TTCCTAAATAAATAATATCAGGAACAGAATGATAATCTCATCCATGGGTTCTACTTTTCGGCGTCCTCCCGACATTACCCATTTTTGTCTTTACCTCTTAATTTCCTACAAATATTTTAAAAAGTCACAAGATTAAATTATACATGTAAATATTATTAAAGATAAAACATGTGTAGTAATTGGTGATGAAACGAATCTAACAACAAGCTAAAGAAGAATTCACGAATAAATAACATAAAAACACGCACTTGACAACCAACTAGCTTTTTGTGTATTACGGTTATGGAGAATTGCCTCCATAAATTACAATTAATTATTAATGAGGAATTATGAAAGCTCAATATATATATATATATATATATACATACATATCATCAACCTCTTATAATCCTAAACAATTAAAAAAAAAAAAAAGAAGTTCCTTAAAACTCTCGTTTTGTTCCTTGAACTTTTTTTCACTTTCTTTCTCGTATCTATCTCACATCAAGTTGAATATTTACATATCTTTTATATGAAAAATAAAAATAGAGTTTCATTCAAGAAGTTCAACCTATCGTGTTGTTTATACATTGTTGATGCAGAATTCAGGATTAATAACGTAATCCAAAACTCGCACAATACTCAAATAGTATTAAAAACTTAAATTTTAAATAAATATTTTATACTTAATCTACCATCAATTATATAATAAAAAATAAGGTAATTAAAAAAATTAAAAAAAATATCACAAAAATACTTTGATAAGTTAATTCAATTCATAACTCAAAGGAGAATTATGAAGAACTCTTCATTTATTCAAAAAAAAAAATTCATAATTTTACTACTTTCAACTTGATGAATAGGTTATATTGTAGGTCATATACATTATGAGGAAATAAATCTCTTAAAATTAATTGTACAAATTATATAAGAAATTAAATCCTGACTTGAATAAGATTATAATAAAAATTAAGATAATCATAACCATAACAAGCTAAAAAGATCTCTTATAATATATCAAATTAATTAGAGAGATGATTGATGGAAGATTTAAGAAAGATTATGGCCGGTTTGGGAAAAGATGCAATGCCCCCATATCTTCCCAAAACCCAAAGTAAATTAAATATTGACCTGAATAAGAAAATAATAAAAATTAAGATAATCATAACCAAAATAAGTTAAATAACATCTCCTTTTATAGAAACTTTTTAAATGAAAAAGAACTAATTAATTTTGGTGCTGACTGAGGAAAATTTAAGGATGATTATGGTCGGTTTGGAAAAGGATTAAATACCTTCCTATCTTTTCAAAACTCATAAAAAATTAAATATTGACAAAATAAAAAATTAAGATAATCATAATCAAAATAAATTATATAGCATCTCCCTTTATAGAAACTTTTTTAATGGGGAAGATCTAATTAATTTTGGAGCTGACTGAGGAAAATTTAAGGATAATTATGGTCGGTTTGGAAAAAAATTAAATACTTCCCTATCTTCCCAAAACTCATAGAAAATTAAATATTGACAGAATAAGAAAATAATAAAAAATTAAGATAATTATAGCCAAAATAAATTATATAGCATTTTCCTTTATAGAAACTTTTTAAATGGAGAATATCCTAATTAATTATAGAGATGATTCGGGTTGGGAAGACTCCTCCCATATGGAAAGATTTCCTTCCTTTTTTCTCATGGATACCTCTTCCATTTGAATTAAGATGCATGTATCATTATACCTTTAGCCTAATGGGCTTGCTTCCTTCATCTTTTAGGCTTCCTTGCTTGATCTAAGCCTTTGACGCATGAATCTTTTGGTATTTTCTCTTACATTTTTAAGTAAATTTTTCTAAAAAGATAGATTGAAATGTTAAATAATTTTAATGCATGAATCTTTATTGTGATTTACTGCTGTTTATTTGAATATGAAATATGAAATTAGTGAGCATGATGGTTTTGATAATTGAATCTCTATTATGATTGATTATTATTCATTTGAATATAAAATACATAATGTTGAGCATGATGCGTAAAAACATGATGATTGGAAATGTATGCAGGTTTAACCATTTGCCTTACCTTTGGTAATGGTGAAGATGGTTACTCTAGTGGGTATTGACTCATGAAGATGACCTGATGGTCAAGGCCGGGTAAAATAGGGTTTGGAGTACATAGAAAAAAAAAAAAAACTTTTAATATTCCATTTCCAGCCACTCATATCCCATTTAAAAAGTAAAGCAAACAAAATATCAATTTTACTAAAACGGACAGGAAAAATAGGATTATATTTACTCAAATTAAGGATTTGCAAAGTTCTCTTATCAAAGTAGGAATTAAACTCCCAAATGTACGGTTCTCTCTGCTCTGCCTCACTTTAGATGAGTGTGTGCCCAGTTCCTCGGTTAGATGACCTTGTAGAAAAGCGTTATTGACATCAAATTGACAAAGAGACCACCCAAGATTAATAGGAAGATTGAGGACTAAGCAAATAGTGATAGATTTGACAACTAGACTGA